TTTTTGATTTATTGTAGAGATGCGGTCTTGCCAAGTTGCCCAGGCGGGTCTCGAACCCACGGGCTTAGGCATTCCACTCACCTCAGCCTCCCAAAGGCGTGGGATTACAGGCTGAGCCACCGAGCCCGGCTGTAATTTTTTGATTTATTGTGGAGACAAGGTTTTGCCAAGTTGCCCAGGCTGGTCTCGAACCCCTGAGCTCAGGCAATCCTCTCGCTTTGGTCTCCCAAAATGCTGGGATTACAAGCTTGACTGTCCATTTATTTATTTATCTATTTATTTAGAGTTGGAGTCTCACTCTGTTGCCCTGACTGGAGTGCAGTGGCACGCTTCTGGCCACCACAGCCTCGACCTGCTGGGCTCCGGCAATCCTCCCGCCTCAGCCTTCCAAGTAGCCGGAACTATAGGCACTCACTACCACACCCGGCTAGTTTTTGATTTATTGTAGAGACGAGGTCTCACGAAGTTGTCTGGGCGGGCCCCGAACCCATGGGCTCAGGCAGTCCACTCGCCTCAGCCTCCCAAAGCGCTGGGATTACAGGCTGAGCCACCGAGTCCGGCTGAATTTCCATTTATTACTAAGGAAGTCAGTCCCAATACAGGTGTTTCTTGTCTTAACAATGGGGCTGCAGAACTGGGAGCTTAAACTATAGAGTTAGCCTGGTTAGGTAAGGCTTCCTGGAGGAAGTGAACCTTTTTTTTTTTTTTTTCTTGAGACAGGATCTTACTCTGTCACCCAGGCTGGAGTGCAGTGGCATGATCATGGCTTACTGAGGCCTTGACTTCCTGGGCTCAAGCAATCTTCCCACCTCAGCCTCCCAAGTAGCTGGGACTACAGGCATGCACCACCATGCTTGGCTAATTATTTTTTGTAGAGATGAGGTCTCACTATGTTGCCCAGGCTGGTTTCAAGCTCCTAGGCTCAAGCAATCCTCCCGCCTTGGCATCCCAAAATGCTGGGATTACAGGCATGAGTCACTGCACTCAGCTGGTAGTTATTTTTAAGATGGAAGTTACTAGAAAGTGTTTGGGTGTGGATGGAATAAATCCAGTCCTGAAGAAGAGTCAGAAGATGAGAGCAAGACAGAGTCATTTGTGTTGTAAAGTTCTTCAGAAGGCTACAGAGAACATGTCATTCAGGGCATAGACAGGCTCAACCACGGACATGAAGACTGGTGGGTGAGCCACCATGTCCAGCCTAATTATTGAGTTTTGAAGAAACAGGGTCTCACTATGTTACCCAGGCTGGTCTTGAACTCTTGGGCCCAAGCAATCCTCTCGCTTCAGCCTACCAAAGTGCTGGGATTACAGGTGTAAGGCACCGCACCAGCCAAGGTGACAAATATTGAAGTGGGGGTAAAGGCCACTCTGGTTACCAGGTGGAAGATAACATGGAGGGGAGCCCCAAAGAGTGTGGGCTGCAGTGGAGGGGTCTGGGCAAAAGGTGATGGCATTTAGATTCAGGTGGGGTGGTGGGGCAGGGGAGAACTGGGAGGATTTAGGGGGTGGTGCAGCAGGGCTTGCTGGTGTCCTGTGGCTGTGGTCAGTGGGTGTCTGCCTGCCACGTCCCACCTTCATCCTTGGAGGGCAGGGACTCTTGTCTGTCTCAGTCGCCACCACTCACCACGGTAGCCCTGGTGCTCAGCTGGTGCCCAGGACAGAGCTGATGAATACATCATCTCAGCAGAAAGACCCCTTAGCCATTGTGTGAGCCATGCCTTTTCTCCATCTGGTTCCACGGGTGGGGAAACTAAGTCCCAGAGAGGCCCTGCATCTTGGGTCACTGCCAGTGCTGGGCCAAGGACCGCTCAGCTGGGTTCTGAGAGCCCTGGCCCGCACTCCAGCTCTCGCCTGGCCTGTCTCCGCAGGGGTGTCGATCCACGTGTGTAACGAGCACCGTTACGGATACATGAACGTGCCTGTTAAATCCCACCAGGGGCTGGAGGACGAGAGGGTCAACTTCATCCACCTGATCTTGGAAGCCCTAGGTGAGGACTAGGCACCTGTTCGACTCACCTGCTGCCAGGGCTTCTGCCTCCCATGGGGCCCCTTTTCCTAGGCCCGGATCTGAGTGGGCCATGGGCTCAGGGATCTAGCATTGCCCTAACTTGTTCTGACTCTGAACAAGTCTCTTTTCCTGTTGGGTCTCAGTCTCCCCATCTTTTTTTTTTTTTTTTTTTGAGCCGGGAGTCTCACTCTGTCACCCAGGCTGGAGTGCAGTGGCATGATCATGGCTCACCACAGCCTCAACCTCCTGGGCTCAGGTGATCCTCCTGCCTCAGCCTCCCAAGTAGCTGGGATTACAGGCATGCACCACCATGCCAGCTAATTTTTTGATTTTTAGTAGAGTTGCGGTCTTGCTGTGTTGCCCAGGCTGGTCTCAAACTCCTGGGCTCAGGCAGTCCTCCAGCCTTAGCCTCCCAAAGTGCTGGGATTACAGGTGTGAGCCACCATGCCCTGCCAGTCTCTCCATATTTATAATGGGGACAGGTGGATTCTGCAGTCTCAGAGGGCCCTTCTTGCTGGATTTTGGGGTGGCTGCTAATAGGAGCCAGCAGGGGCTCATAGCTGGGGTGTGTTTCCCTCTGCAGTTGATGGGCCCCCGATGCAGGCCTCAGCTCATGTGTCTCGGCCTCCAAAGAGGCCCAGCAAGATGGGGTTTGACGAGGTGAGTCCCCCCAACCTTCGGGCAGGAGGTAGAAGGCTCTCCCCTCCCCATCCCCTGTACTCACCCCCCCACCCCACTTCCTCCAGGTCTTTGTCATCAGCCTGGCCCGAAGACCTGATCGCCGGGAACGCATGCTGAGCTCGCTCTGGGAGATGGAGATCTCTGGGCGGGTGGTGGATGCTGTGGATGGCCGGTGAGGCTTCCTGGAGGTGCCCTGGGCACTTGAGGGGCAGTGTAGACCGTCTCTGAACCCCCTGGACTGGGGAAAGCAGACACATTGAATGAGTTTCTTGTCCCCAGAGGTGTCCAAGTAGGACCTGAGTAATACTGCCTCAGAAAGTTCCAGGGTGGGTGGACAAATACAGGACAAGACACCCTCCCTTAGCCCATGGGAGGGAGAGCACAAGGGTTAAGGCTCCAGGGCCTGGGTTTTGCCCACGGCTGTGTGACCTCCTGCAGGTTACCCCCGCCTCTCAGCCCTGTCATGTAAGTTGGCAGATAATTGTGCCTTGCTCTTAGGGTTTTATAAGAGTTCAGGCCAAGCCAGGCATGGTGCCTCATGCCTATAATCCCAGCACTTTGGGAGCCCGAGGTGAGGGGAGTACCTGAGCCCAAGGGTTTGAAACCAGCCTGGGCAACTTGGCAAGACCTTGTCTCTACAATAAATTTAAAAAATTAGCCAGGCATGGTGGCACATGCCTGTAGTTCCAGCCACTTGTACGGCTGAGGTAGAAAGATAACCTAAGCCCAGTTGGTCAAGGCTGTGGTGGCTATAAGCATGCCACTGCACTTCAGCCTGGGTAACAGTGAGACTTGGACTCAAAAAAAAAAAAAAGTTCAGGCCGGTCACGGTGGCTCATGCCTGTAATCCCAGCACTTGGGAGGCCTCCTGGACAGGAACCACAGCCTGGTCAACCACACATCCTCATGGTTACCTCCTGTCGTAACTCCCAAGGTCGCTCTGGCCACCGACAGCTTCAGGCCATGCAAAGGAGTTATGAGGCCGAAAGCGCCTTCACACTAGACCCCAGCGTGACTGTCCCAAGCATGCATGGACCAAATCCCTCTGAAGGGGTCTCTGGGCACCCCTCAGCCACCACACCCATGTCCCTCAGGGCGCTCAATGGCAGCAGCATCAGGAACCTTGGCGTGGACCTGCTCCCTGGCTACCAGGACCCCTACTCGGGCCGCACGCTGACCAAGGGCGAGGTGGGCTGCTTCCTCAGCCACTACTCCATCTGGGAAGAGGTGAGGACACCACCTCTCTGGCCCTCGGCCTTCAGGGGGAGTTGGGCCGGCTTGTCCTAGGCTCTGCTCTATGCCAGCACTTGCATGAACCAGTGAGTGAATGAATGCACTAACAAAGACCTGGGGGCAGGTGCAGTAGCTCACACCTACTCCCAAGGGAGGCTAAGGCGGGAGGATCGCTTCAAGGCTGGGAGTTCAAAACCAGCCTGGACTACATAGCGAGATCCTGTCTCTACAAAAATTACCTGGGCGTGGTGGTGCACGCCTGTAGTTCCAGCTACTCAGGAGGCTGAGGCAGGAGGATCACTTGAGCCCAGGAGGTTAAGGCTGCAGTGAGCTATGATTGAGCCACTGCACTATACCCTGGGCAACAGAGCAAGACTATGTCTCTAAGAAATAAAAATAAAAAAATCTGGCCGGGCTCAGTGGCTCAGCCTATAATTCCGTACCTTTGGGAGGCTGAGGTGAGTGGATTGCCTGAGCCCGCGGGTTCGAGACCCGCCTAGGCAGCGAGACCTCATCTCTACAATAAATCAAAAAGTCAGCCGGGCATGGTAGCGCATGCCTGTAATTCTGGCTACTTGGAAGGCTGAGGCGGAAGGATCGCCAGAGCCCAGCAGGTCGAGGCTGCAGTGGCCGGGAGCAGCCGCTGCACTCCAGTCTGGGCGACAGAGTGAGACTCCAACTCAAAAAAAAGTTAAAAAATCTGGCTTGTTCTGTGCTCCACTGGACACCACTGAGGGATGTTTCAATTCATTCTATAGTCTCTCATGAGAACCTACTATGTGCTAGGAGATATTCTACTCTGAACACAGAGGGGAACAAGGAAAATGCCTGTCTGCTCCTTCATGCAGTAGAAGGATCCTGGATCCTCTTGGGGTACAGGGGCCAGAGGCAGGCACAGAAATCAAGAAAGAGGCTGGGTGCGGTGGCTTACACCTGTAATTCCAGCACTTTGGGAGACCAATAAGGGAGGATCATTTGAGCTCAGGAACTCGAGACCAGTCTGGGCAACATAGTAAGATCTCATCTCTACAAAAAATGTAAAAATTAGCTGAGCTTGGTGGCATGCACCTGTAGTCCCAGCTACTCAGGAGGCTGAGGTGAGAGGCTCGCCTGAGCCCAGGAGGTCGAGGCTGTGGTGAGCTGTGATCATGCCACTGCACTCCAGCCTGGGCAATAGAGTGAGGCCCAGACTCCAAAAAAAGAAAAGAAAAAGCTCAGGAGGCCAAAGTAACAGGCTGGGCCCCTGGGATCTGACAGATGCAGGTCACATCCTGTCATGCCATTTCCTGGCTCTGTGTCTTTGGACAGGCATTTTCCCCTCCTGACATGTCCACCTCCTTCCTGAAATAGGGGATCATCATTCCTCCTCACTGGCCCCTGGGATACAAACATGCTTAGTGAATGTAGCTGGGAATCTGGGATCTTTTTTTTTTTAGTAGGAGTTTCACTCTACATATTCACCCAAGCTGGAATATGTGCCACCACGTTCATGGCCACTGTAGCCACAACCTGCTGGGCTCAGGTGATCCTTCTGCCTCAGCCTTCCAAGTAGCTGGAGCTACAGGTGTGCACCACTATGCCTGACTAATTGTTTGATTTACTGTAGAGACGAGGTCTTTCTAAGTTGCTCAGGCTGGTCTCGAACCCGTGGGTTCAGGCAATCCTTTCGCCTTGGTCTCCCAAAGTGCTGGGATTACAGGCGTGAGCCACTGGGCCCGGTAAGGGTCTGGGGTCCTTGAATGCCAGAGCCAGGCTGGGATTTCAGTCTTCCGGCCATGGGAGTCCCAGCAGGCTTTGGGGCAACTGTGGCTTGTGATCAGGGCTGAGCAGTTGGAATATAACTGAGCCAGGCAGAGTCTGTGGGCTTGAACCAGGAGGGAAGGGGCTAGCCCGGCTCTGAAGAGCCATCTCTCTCCCCATGGGGTACCACAGGTGGCTGCCAGGGGCCTGGACCGCGTTGTGGTTTTTGAGGATGATGTGCGCTTTGAGAGCAACTTCCGGGGGCGGCTGGAGCGGCTGATGGAGCAGGTGGAGACGGAGAAGCTGCCGTGGGACCTGATGTAGGCACCTGCGCCCCGGGGCGGGGGAGCGGGGCGGCTCTGGGTCTGCTTCTTCCTGCTTGGAATCCTGGCCAGTCCTTCCCCCAAGAGCCTGGCCTGGCAGCAGGGATGGGGGGAGGGCTTGAGTGACTTCAGGGACCCTTGGTGTCACCTGCAGCTACCTGGGCCGGAAGCAGGTGAACCCCGAGAAGGAGGCGGCCGTGGAGGGGCTGCCGGGCCTGGTGGTGGCCGGGTACTCCTACTGGACGCTGGCATATGCCCTGAGCCTGGAGGGTGCCCGCAAGCTGCTGGCCTCCCAGCCCCTGCACCGCATGCTGCCCGTGGACGAGTTCCTGCCCATCATGTTTGACCAGCACCCCAAGTGAGGCTCAGGTGGGGTGGGGCGGGGCGTCCCACGCAGGGGTCCATCTCAGCCAGGAGTCGAGTCCCTTGCTAGGCAGATGGGGAGACTGAGACTGGCAAGGACAAGTCCCTTGCTCCAGGCCACCTAGGAGTAGCCCCCCCTCGCCTGGAGTTAGACCAGCCTCTGCATGAACTCTGTGCAGCCGGAGTGGTTTTGATTTTTTTGGGTTTTTTTTTTTTTTTTTTGAGTTGGAGTCTCACTCTGTCGCCCAGACTGGAGTGCAGTGGCCGCTCCCGGCCACCGCAGCCTTGACCTGCTGGGCTCCGGCGATCCTCCGCCTCAGCCTTCCAAATAGCAGGAACTACAGGCACGCGCTACCACGCCCGGCTGATTTTTTGATTGATTGTAGAGATGAGCTCTCGCTGCCCAGGCGGGTCTCGAACCCACGGGCTCAGGCAATCCACTCACCTCAGCCTCCCAAAGGCGCGGGATTACAGGCTGAGCCACCGAACCCGGCTTCAGTTTTTTTTTTCTAGAGTCGGGTTCTCACTCTGTTGCCCAGGCTGGAGTACAGTGGCAAGATCACAGCTCCCTGTAGCCTCCACCTTCTGGGCTCAGGAGTTCCTTCTGCCTCCGCTGCCCGAGTAGTTGAGACTACATGTGTGTATCACCACACCCAACTAACTTTTAAATTTTTTTGTAGAGACAGGGTCTTGCTATGTTGCCCAGGCTGGTCTCAAACTTCTGGGCTCTTCTGCCTCAGTCTCCCAAAGTGTTTGGGATTACAGGTGTGAGTCACTGCACCTGGCCTCCTGTGGATATTTTTTTTTTTTTTAGTTAGAATCTCTGTTGCCCACGTTGGAGTGCAGTGGCACGCTCATGGCCACTGCAGCCTTGACCGGCTAGGCTCAGGTGATCCTTCCGCTTCAGCCTTCCAGGTAGCTGGAACCACAGGCATGTACCACCATGCCTGGCTAGCTTTTTATTTATTGTGGAGACAAAGTCTCGCCATGTTGCCCAGGCTGGTCTCGAACCCCTGAGCTCAAGCAGTCCTCTCACATCCACCTACCAAAGTGCTGGGATTGCAGGTGTGAGCCACTGCACCTGGCTTCCCCCGTGGTTTTTACTCAGATAACTTCCCTGTTCTCAGCCTCAGTTTCTTCATCTGGAAAATGGGGATAATAGAAATTCCACTCCTCAGGACTGCTGCGAGCACCAGATGGGAAGGGCAGTGAGGTGCTTGGGGCAGAGGAGGTGCCTGGCTCCGGACTGGCGTGTGGTCTGAGAGAAGGGGGAGGCCTCAGCCCCCCTGAGCTGTCCTCCTGCCCACAGCAAGCAGTACAAGGCACACTTCTGGCCACGGGACCTGCGGGCCTTCTCAGCCCGGCCCCTGCTCGCTGCGCCCACCCACTACGCAGGGGATGCCGAGTGGCTCAGTGACACGGAGACGTCCTCCCTCTGGGATGACGACAGCGGCCGCCTCATCAGCTGGAGTGGCTCTCAGAAGACCCTGCGTGACCCCCGCCTGGACCTGGCTGGCAGCAGTGGCCACAGCCTCCATCCACACCCCCGGGATGAGCTCTAGGTAAGGCTAGGGCTGGGAAAAGGCTCCACCTGTGGGCTTTGACTTTCTCCCTCTGTGGTGTGGCTGCTGGGGCTCTGTGTTCCCCTTCTCATATCTTTCTCTCTCCTCTCTGGCTCTGGCTCTGTCTCTGTGCCCCAGCTATCTCTGCATCTCTCTCTATCTCTGTCTCCCTCTCTCTCTACCTGTCTCTGGCTCTGTCTGTCTATACCTTTTGGTGCCTGTCTTTCTCTGATTCTGTCTGGCTCTAGTTCTTTCTATTTTTCTCTTCCTTCCCCTTCTGTCCCACCAGGTCCAGGTGAGGACTCCAAGGAGTGCCCAGGAGCTGGCAGCAGCTACCTGCTCCAGGGAACAGAGGAGGTGGTTGCTGGCAGGGACCGCAGACCTGGTGAGACCTGGCTGCCACCTTGGGCATGGCCACTCTGCATGCTGGACCCGTCTCGCATCAGGAGAAACCACTCAGAGATGGATTCAATTTCGCGAAGGTCACATACTAAAAGTGCAGGACCTGCAGGCCCCCTGACCCTGCCCAGATTCAGAGCCTAGGGTGTGGGAAGGAGGTGGCCCTTCAGCTTTCCCCATCAAGCTGGGCAGACCCCAGGAGCCCTGCCCTCCCTAAGGACTCAGCTGCTGGGGCCCCTCTATCCCCTTCTACCTCCACCTCCACCCCCTCCCCACCTGACATTTGGGTCTCACCAGCACCCTCTTCCCTGGTCAGTGGGAAGTGCAGGGAGGTGGGAGGAGGACCCTTAAAGACCTGGTGCCCAGCACACAATAGGCCCTCAATAAAAGCCACTGGTGTTTGCACTTTACACTTGCTAACTCATGGCTGAGCCTCTGCACTCAGCCAGCCTGGGAGGAGGCTCCCTCATCTGAGGGACAGAGGGGAGGGGAGTGGGAGGGGTCAGGTCCACCTGGCATCACCTCCTTGCTGGCTGATCTTGGGCGTCTGCCACACCCTCCCTGGGCCTTAATCTACTTGTTGGTCGTTGGGACTGGGTGGGCATGGAGTGGCCTGGCTTGAGCCTGGCCCATGGTGAGTGCTTGCCCGGTGGGGCAGGTGTGTCATCACCGATGTCGGCACCGGCCTCCCTTTGCTGGCCAGAGTGAGCCCAGGCCAGACCCGGGGCTGCTGATGCCTCAGCTTTTTGGGTCTTGCAGCTGGAACCCTGGCTTGGGCAGGGAGGCCCGGGAGCGGCCCCTGGGCCTGGGAGGAGCGTGAGGAGAGCCAGAGTGCCCGTCCGGCCTTGACCAGCATGGCCGCCAGAGGGCGCAAAGTGGCAGAGCCTGGACCACATTGGCCAGGGCGTCTTCTGCTGGTTTGGGGCTGACACAGAAAAGGGAATTTGGGGCACCTGGAAGCTCCTGTTCTTCTCTTCTGCTTGGGAACTGCGGGCCTCTTCCCCCCAACCCCCATGGAGTCAGGCTTCTGGGCCCAGCCGCTGCCCGAAGTCTACACCCAGGCAGCTGGAGGGGTGGGCTGGGGCTGGCTCCTGGCCTTGGCCTGGCTGCCTTGGCCTCCACCCGTGCGGGTTGGTGGTGCTGCTGTCTCCAGGCTCCCTTCTTCAGGAGAGCCCCTTCCCTGGCAGCCCCTCGACTGGGTCATGTGAACACCCCAGTCCTGGCAGAGTCCGACAAGCCCTCTCTGAGTGGGCTATCCCTCAGCTCTGTCCAGGCTGTGAGAAGGACTTTGGACTGGAGCTGTGGACTTGGTGCTTTGTTCCTTCCAAGATGAAAGCCATGAATTCTGTCCGGGCTCCCAGCAATTTGGGAGGCTGAGGTGGGGGGATTACTTGAGCCCAGGTAATCCCCCCTGGGCAACATAGTGAGAAGTTGTCTTTAAAAAAAAAGAAAAAAGCCGGGCTTGGTGGCTCAGCCTGTAATCCCCAGCCTTTGGGAGGCTGAGGTGAGTGGATTGCCTGAGTCCGCGGGTTCGAGACCCGCCTGGGCAGCAAGACCTCATCATTGTGCCTGTAATTCCGGCTACTTGGAAGGCTGAGGCGGAAGGATTGCCAGAGCCCAGTAGGTTGAGGCTGTGGTGGCCAGGAGCGGCCACTGCACTCCAGTCTGGGTGACAGAGTGAGACTCCAACTCAAAAAAAAAAGTAATGTGATCTGACATGTCGTTATAAGATCACACTGGCAGAGACATGGCGTGGTCTAACATGCTTTTATATGATCACCCTGATTACTTGTGGGGACAAGACTGACTTTATTCTATGCTGAACATGGTACCTCATGCCTGCAATCCCAGCACTTTGGGAGGCCTAGGCAGGCGGGAGAATCATTTGAGGACTGGAGTTTGAGAACAGCCTGGACAACACAGTGAGACCTCACCTCTACAAAAAAATTTAAAAATTAGCCAGGTGTGGTGATGCACACCTCTTGTCTCAGCTACTTGGGAGGGCATGTGGGATCTTTCCCACATCTTCATCATAGTGGTGGTGACAGAACTGCATACATTTGTCAAAACTCATCAAACTGAAGGTATACTTTATTGATAAAAAACTATGCTGTATTTTCTTTCTTTTTTTTTTTTTTTGAGTTGGAGTCTCACTCGGTCGCCCAGGCTGGAGTGCAGTGGCCGGGAGCGACCACCGTAGCCTCGACCTGCTGGACTCCGGCGATCCTTCCGCCTCAGCCTTCCGAGTAGCCAGAATTACAGGCATGCGCTACTATGCCTGGCTGATTTTTTGATTTATTGTAGAGATGAGGTCTCGCTGCCCAGGCAGGTCTTGAACCCGCGGGCTCAGGCAATCCACTCACCTCAGCCTCCCAAAGGCGCGGGATTACAGGCTGAGCCACTGAGCCCAGCTTTTTTTTTTTTTTTTTTTTTTAGTCGGAGTCTCACTCTGTCACCCAGACTGGAGTGCAGTGGCCGCTCCTGGCCACTGCAGCCTCAACCTGCTGGGCTCAGGCGATCCTTCCGCCTCAGCCTTCCAAGTAGCTGGAACTACAGGCGCGCGCTACCATACCCGGCTGATTTTTTGATTTTATGTAGAGATGAGGTCTCGCCAAATTGCCCAGGTGGGTCTCAAACCCTTAGGCTCAGGCAATCCACTCACCTCAGCCTCCCAAAGCCCTGGGATTACAGGCTAAGCCACCGAGCCTGGCTAATCTTTCTTTCTTTTTTGTCAAGGTCTCACTCTGTCGCCCAGGCTGGAGTGCAGTGGCACGATCACGGCTCACCACAGCCTCAATCTCCTGGGGTCAGGCAATCCTTCCACTTCAGCCTCTCAAGTAGCTGAGACTACAGGTGCACAACACAACACCTGGCTAATGTTTTGATTTTTTTTTTGTGGAGACGAGGTCTCGCTATGTTGCCCAGTCTTTCCTTGAACCAGTTTCCCATTTTTTCCCTGGACCCAACAACAGTTCATTCTCAGAACAGCAGTATTCCATGGCAGACATCCATGTGTGCAAAGCATCCTCCAAATGCGGATGGAGCCAAGAAATCTTGGAAGGAGGCAGACAAATCCACTTTACCAGTCTGGGGTGAACTTACAGACTGAAGTGTGGTCTTGGGCAGCTGCAAGACCCAGGGTTTATATTCTGAGGGAAAAGCATACATGTTCTGGAAGGAGCTACAGGCATTACAGTCTATGATTTCCAGAACAACAAGAATTGTTTGGAGGAGACTTCCAGTAAATAGGTGTGTCTACATAAAGAGTCATACACTGGCCAGGTGAGGTGTCTTACGCCTATAATCCTAGTACTTTGGGAGGCCAAGGTGAGAGGACTACCTGAGCCCATGGGTTCAAGATCAGCTTGGCCAACTTGGTGAGACCTCATATCTACAATAAATCAAAAAATTAGCTGGGCATGGTGGTGCATGCCTGCAGTTCCAGCTACTTGGAAGGTTGAGGTGGAAGGATTGCCGGAGCCCAGCAGGTAGAGGCTGCAGTGGCTGGGAGTGGCCACTGCACTCCAGTCTGGGTGACAGAGTGAGACTCCAACTCAAAAAAAAATAATAGTAAATTGTTCCTTCACTTGTAGACTCAAATTGTAATTGCTCCTGGGCCCTCTATCTGCTGAAGTGTATGGGTTATCTGCCTCTTTGCTAAGTGACCCAAAGATGCTGTTTCCTGAACTGTGTTGTCTGCTTTTAAAGTTGCTTTGGGAGGCCAAGGCAGAATGATTGCTTGAGGCCAACAGTTCAAAACCAGCCTGGGCAACATAGGCAGACCTCATCTCTACAAACAAACAAAAAAATCAGAAGTTAGCTGGGCTTGGTGGCACATGCCTGTTGTCTCAGCTACTTGGGAGGTTGAGGCAGGAGATTGAGGCTGCAGTGAGCTGTGGTAATCCCACTGCACTCCAGCCTGGGTGACAGTGAGATCCCGACTCAAAAATGAGCTGGGTGTAGTGGTGTGCGCCTGTACTCCCAGCTACTTGGGAGGCTGAGACTGGAGGATCACCTGAGCGCAGGCGTTTGAGGCTGCAGTGAACTGTGATCATGCCACTGCACTCCAGCCTGGGCAACAGAAAGAGACCGTGTCTCGATCAATCAATCAATTAATCAATCAATCAGTCAGTTTCTTGGCTTCTTCCCTCATTGACTGGTGCCAGGATAAAGAACGTGGACTCTGGAGTGGGGCCCGTGGGAGTGTAGTCCTGAAACCCCATGTGACCTTGGGCACATTACTCAGCCTCTCTGAACCTTCATTTCTCCATCTGCACATGGGTGAATACCGCCTGGTAGCATGGAGGTTGCGCATAGCGATCGCTATTTTATCATTCTACCCCATTTTGACTGTCACAGAGTCAAGACTGAGGACACTTTCTGCTGCAAAGAGCCAAAGTGTAAGTCAAACTAGCTTAAGGAGTGAGGACATGCACTGGCTGACACAACACAGGGTCCAGAGGGGATGTGGGCTTTGGAGATGTCTTGCTTCTTCCTTGGGAGTCCTTTGGGTCTGTGCGTTGGAGTCATTCTCAGACTGGTGGCCGCATGCTTGCTGCTGTCCCTGATGTCATGTCCTGGATCAGAAACGCATCCAGTGGGAAGAGGAGAGTCACTTCTCAATGCTGTCCCAAAAAGAACCCCTGCCAACCTCCCCACGTTAGTCCACACTGAGTCACGTGCCGATTTCCGGACCAAGTGTTGACAAGGGGTGAAATGACCCTCAGACCAACCAGATTCATCCTCAGAGCTGGCCAGCGGTCAGTCTCTGCAGCGGCTGTATGCCCCCGTGACAAGTGAACTAGCACATGCCGATGACCACTCTCTTTAGGGAAGCTGGGTAGGGCTGACAGTGGCCCAGTGAGCATGTTGTTCTGATGAGCTGGCATCGCTAAGATGGTGTTTCAAGGTGATGATTTTGGTACTAACCACATGGAAGGTTGAGGTAGGAGGATCACTTGAACTCAAGAGTTTGAGGCTGCAATGGTTGCTTGAGCAGCCAGCAGCAGAGAGCACCCCCTGCCTAGCCTGGACAGGGGACCCATGGACCTCTAGTCAGAGGAATTATGATCTCATGTGCCCAAGGCTCAGGGACTGCCCCAGGTGCAGCTGGCCCAGGGAGAGGGGCTGGTTTGCATAGCTGCTGGTAGGGTCCAGTTCCATCTCCACAAAGCTCAATCCCTCCATCCATTCCCAGCTGACCTGTCCTGTACAGACACCCTAATAGCATTAACAATGCATGTTCCGCAAATCAGAGCTGTAGGCTTATTCAGAAATACTTAGGCCAGGTGTGATAGCTCACGCTTGAAATCCCAGAACTTTGGGAGATGGAGGTGAGAGGACTGCCTGAGCCCAGGGTCCAAGACCAGCCTGGGCAACTTGGCAAGACTTCGTCTCTACAATAAATAAA